AGCGTCACCTTATAATGATGTTTCTTTCTACTTCAGCGTCACCTTATAATGATGTTTCTTTCTACTTCAGCGTCACCTTATAATGATGTTTCTTTCTACTTCAGCGTCACCTTATAATGATGTTTCTTTCTACTTCAGCGTCACCTTATAATGATGTTTCTTTCTACTTCAGCGTCACCTTATAATGATGTTTCTTTCTACTTCAGCGTCACCTTATAATGATGTTTCTTTCTACTTCAGCGTCACCTTATAATGATGTTTCTTTCTACTTCAGCGTCACCTTATAATGATGTTTCTTTCTACTTCAGCGTCACCTTATAATGATGTTTCTTTCTACTTCAGCGTCACCTTATAATGATGTTTCTTTCTACTTCAGCGTCACCTTATAATGATGTTTCTTTCTACTTCAGCGTCACCTTATAATGATGTTTCTTTCTACTTCAGCGTCACCTTATAATGATGTTTCTTTCTACTTCAGCGTCACCTTATAATGATGTTTCTTTCTACTTCAGCGTCACCTTATAATGATGTTTCTTTCTACTTCAGCGTCACCTTATAATGATGTTTCTTTCTACTTCAGCGTCACCCTATAATTATGTCTCTGGCTACTTCAGCGTCACCTTATAATGATGTTTCTTTCTACTTCAGCGTCATCTTATAATGATGTTTCTTTCTACTTCAGCGTCACCTTATAATGATGTTTCTTTCTACTTCAGCGTCACCTTGTAATGATGTCTCTGGCTACTTCTGCGTCACCTTATAATGATGTTTCTTTTTACTTCAGCGTCATCCTATAATGATGTCTCTGGCTACTTCAGCGTCATCTTAGAATGATGTTTCTTTCTACTTCAGCGTCACCTTATAATGATGTTTCTTTCTACTTCAGCGCCACCTTATAATGATGTCTCTGGCTACTTCTGCGTCACCTTATAATGAAATCTTTTTTTTTTTTTAAATCAGCATCACCCTAAGGATGTCACTTTCTTTTTCGTGGCTGCGTTCGTATAGCGCATCGAGTTTAGCACTTGCTACATGTTCCTCTTGTGGTCAACAAATCAAGGAATTGTTGCAGATGACTAATGCCATTTAGAAGTTCATGTTTTTACATGTCTTTAGAAATCACCTGACTACATTGTCGGGACCAGGAGCTCATCCCTTAAGAAACATCGTAGTATCCTGATATTCTTGTAGTATCCTGATATCCCTGTAGTATCATGATATCCTTGTGGTATCCTGATATCCTTGTTGCATTTTCAGAAAGACTTCTGGCGTCCAATCACCGCTTGAATAAAACGAAACAAATCGACTCCCTGTGTGACCCTAACATCAACTTTCAGAACGCACATTATTCTGACTCTTTCTTGACAAGTTGTTGACGACCAATGGGATGATGTCCAGAAATACCTTGATGACCGTACCATAACTGTCTAAATAGGAACTTAGACACGGTTATGTTTTAAGATTAAGTCAAAAACTTTAAAAGAAGCTGCCACAAATATTATCACCGTAAATAGATAATCCACACGATGAAGGAAATTTGGTCGCTGAAACTACATTTTGAAGAAGTTTTTTATCATTGCCTGTTGAACTGAATTTCAAGGAACTTACACTTTAAACCGCGAATTCGAGGTCAACTGATCAGTGTCTGTAAATCAGTGTCTGTAGATCAGTGTCTGTAGATCAGTGTCTGTAGATCAGTGTCTGTAGATCAGTGTCTGTAGATCAGTGTCTGTAGATCAGTGTCTGTTTTATATAAGTATGCAATGCATTGAAATGTCCTTATACCATTGCTGCAACGCTTTCGTCCAGCCAGAAAATCCCTTTTCAAATTATCTTCGGCCAGTATGTGTTTGACCAAATAAGTCGCATGGGGGACATTGGAACCTGAGCCATTGTCTTTGATTTGTTGACCACTTGCATGTTTTTGAAAGATCGCGGGATGGCAGAAATTCACTTTACAATCTTCGCACTGCCTGAATGAAGTCAGCAATGTTCCAAACTCTCTCATTCCACGGATGCTCTATAAAACTAAAACCCTGCTCTACATTGAGAATGTTTCATAGTAACTGTCATTTTGATCGTCTGATTCCAGGTAGGCCTAAGCTTTTTTTTTTTTAAATGAAGCAACCGAACGTTCGTCTCAGTTTCAGCTGTGTCAGTGAGTCGTATCCTCATTCTCAGCAATCTGTTTATGTGGATTGTCGACCGCAGTCAGCGAACCATATCCTCATTCTAAGCAATCTGTTTATGTGGATTGTCGACCGCAGTCAGCGAACCATATCATCATTCTCAGCAATCTGTTTATGTGGATTGTCGACCGCAGTCAGCGAACCATATCCTCATTCTCAGCAATCTGTTTATGTGGATTGTCGACCGCAGTCAGCGAACCATATCATCATTCTCAGCAATCTGTTTATGTGGATTGTCGACCGCAGTCAGCGAACCATATCATCATTCTCAGCAATCTGTTTATGTGGATTGTCGACCGCAGTCACTTCGCTGGTAGATTTACTTAAATTGCCCTAGAGCTGATCATCCTTTATATTAGGTAAGTAGAAACAATGTTATTGTATATTTGCTCATCAAGATTCTTTGGTTTATTTTTGGCGTTTGTCCATCTACATTTAGGAAGATACCATGCTCTATAATACTGGACACTCACTGAATTCGTGTCTGGACATTGCTCGTACGCGAGTGGGATAATGAGCTAGTCCAACTAGATACATCTGCGTATCATCCAGTAGAGGACGCACGGAGACGTCCTACACGCCCGTCGCTAGATTCAAGATGGCATCAAAAAGCAATATAATCTACTTCTTGATCAGCAAGCTACTTTCCGGAACATTTTAATCAATTCAAAATGCATGGATTGATTTAGGGGCACACCTGAATTTAGTTTCATCTCATTGTAAACCTAATCATAAACATTTGCAGAATAGATGCCATAAGAAATTTAGGTTCCCTTGACTTAGCTGTGTTTACAGTTTACACAAATCCTTTATTTCTAGTAGTTACTAATCTTTCTTTAAGATTTGAGATGACCAATTTGAACTGAAGTTTTAAAAAAAAAAAGTCCAAAAAGAGAGGCTAGTACGTAATGCCAGCACGTCCTGTCACAGAAACAAAACAACTATATTTGTTTACATTTCAATGAAAGAAAGAAAACATACAAAACACTATTAAAATAATAAGGAAGCAAAACAAAACGAAAAAGACTGGCACTACGCATGACATCAAGCATATATATATAAAAAAAAATTAAAACAAACAACAAATACTCCTTTTAATTTTATCAATATGGTTGAGAGGCTAAAAGTTTAAAAAATGGTGGTAAAATGTTAAGATTAATAGAGGGACGTAATTACATGATTTTACACAATGACGAATTATTCACAATCGCCTCCCCTACCCCCACATTTTTTTCCCTTTGATTTTGAAGCATTAAAATAAAATATTTTATAAAAAGGGTCGTCCATTAATTACGTCAACAATTTAAAAGCAATTTTTGACCCCCCTCCCCCCTGTCAACAATTGTCAAACTTTCAATGACCCCCACCCCTATTTAATTATGTCAACATTTTCTACCCCACCCCTTCCAAAAAAAAAAAAAAAGGAATTATAGTATAAATAAAATTATAAATTCATATTACTTTGTGCTGATCTATTTTAATGACATGAAATTGTAGGAAAAACATTTAATGCCATGTTTAGCTTGTTAATCAACACGTTAAAAACTTTTTACATTTAAATTTTATAATGCAGAATCAATTGAAAAGTTGTTAAAGACTAAATATCTTTGCGTGTGGTATAAATATGATTATTGTTAGTAAAGCTGACAATTATAGTACAGTTTCTACAGGGCCGGCGCTAGGGGATGGCGAAGTGGGCGACCGGCTAAAGGCCCCGCGTAAGCCTACTGATAGTTCCTAATCCAGTCAACGCAATATTCGGAGTTATTAATTAACTGTTTTAGGAAAAAATAGAAATTTCGGAAACTAAGCGAGTGAACAAATATCCGTTATGACGCGTCCCATTATGACCAGCAAGGCCCCAGTACGACTATAACGTGTCTTAATATCCTATCGGCGGAATATATAACGCCAATGGCCCCGCGAAATTCAATTTGCCCAAGTCCCCTGCTCTATCGTAACCATGGGCATCAGGGACATCATTTGGGTAGGGCAGGGGGGGGGCATTTGCCCCCTCTCCCCTAATTTGCAAGTTGTATTTAAATTGCTATGTACTGTGACGCCTCCAGTAATAAACAACTTAACAAGCTGACCAAGTTTTGGTTTTGCCCCCCACCCCACCCCCCTGAAAAAACCCTGAAAAGACGCCCCTGATGGGCATAGTCTAAAGTATCTGATTTATCATTTTCATCTTGCGACACTGATATATCAGACAAGTCAACATCATCCTCATCTAACCATTCAGCACTTAAAATAGAAGCATTGTCGGTGTGAGCAATAATTGCCATAAGCTCTCTCAATCTCCTTGCAACTACTCGCATGGGTTGAATCCTTGTTTGTTGAGGAGCATGTGGTAATTTCGTATGCCCAAGACGGCCTTGTCGGTTCTGTTGAACATGATTTTTCAGCATGACTTGTGATTGCAAAATAGTTGTTACAGATTTTGCTAATCCGTTCAAGCAGCTATGTTATTATTGTTACTCACTTTTGATTCACCTAATTCTCAAAATATGTTATTCCAACTCTTTCAATATCATTTAACTTTTGACGTCTCTTGCACTAACAAAGTGTGCTAACATTCTGACCAGCCATCTGCAGTGCACAGACAGACACACATTAAATCAATCTTAAATTATTATTGTTAAAGCCTAAACATTATATCACTATTTACAAATAAATAATGTAATAACCAGTCAATTTTTAAGATTAAAATTTTAATAGAGGAAACAAGATTGTTGACGTCAACTTATCTAAACCCACCTCCCTCCACCTTGTCAACAACTGTCAAACATTTCCTACCCCCGCCCCCCCCCCATTTTGTTGATGTAATTAATGGACGCCCCCAAAAGAAAAAAAACACAAAAAAAACAAAAACAAAAAAAACACCAACATTGATGTATCTCTTTGAAATATTTCTGTCTAAACAGCGTTCACATTGAAAGCATTCAGTCTTCCCAAGTTAGGGCTCCCTGTACTTTCCAGTAAAATAAAACCAATATGTGATGTGTTTTTTTCTCAATGTAACGAGAGTCTTGAATTCCCACACGGGATGAGTGCATGAGTACATGAATAATCTTAATACATGGGTTGAGTGAATGAATAGATGAATAATCTTAATACACGAGATGAGTGAATGAATACATGTATATCTTAAATACACGGAATGAGTGAATGAATACATAAATAATTTTAATACACGGAATAGGTGAATGAATAAATAAAAAACACCTACTTTAAAATAACGTAAGTTTACATTGATGTAGTTCAACAATTAAACATTTTTAATCAAGTAAACCTTCAACATTGGCTCAGCTGCCTGGCACTCGAACATTACGATGCCACTTTCTGGAGGTACACAAATGAGATGTCGCTTGATTGATGTATAAATATTAGATGCCACTTGATTGATGCATACAAATTACATGTTACTTGATTTCGGTATACAAATTAGTCAGATGTCACTTGTTGGAGGTATAAAAATTAAGATGCATTTTGTCTCTAATGCAACATTCAAATCTCTAATACAACATTCACATTTTTTATACAACATTCACATCTCTAATATGACATTAACATCTCAAATATGACATTCACATCTCTAATATGACATTCACATCTATAATATGACATTCATATCTCTAATATGACATTCACATCTCTAATATGATATTCACATCTCTAATATGACATTCATATCTCTAGCACAGCATTCAAATCTCTAATGCAACATACACATATCTAATAAAACATTCAAATTTGCTAACATCCTATGTGGTTGGACTGATAGTCTTGGATTCTCTCCCGTGGATTCCATCTTTGTCCCGTCTCCCATGAAGACGGCGAACCAATAAGAGTACAAGAGTGAGTATGACCAGGTGTCCTGCCCTCAGACCAATGTACAGACCATTGAAAATGAAACGAAACCTTTCTCTGTCGTACAGCATGCAATAGTCTCCTGTAGGGGACCACAGTCTGCACGTGCTGTCGATGAGTTTGCCAAAAACAAGTGGTGCTGGCAGGAAGCCTGAAAAACAAAGCAATAAAATTAGTTTCAAATGGGTAGTGGTTCTCAACCTATGGGTCGCGACCTCTTTGGGGGGTCGAACGGCCCTTTCACAGGGTTCACCATAGACCATAGGAAAACACTTATACTATACAGTTATGAACCAGCAACGAAAATAATTTTGGGGTAGCGGGTCGCCACAACATGAGGAACTTTATGAAAGGGTCGCGGCATTAGGAAGGTTGAGAACCACTGAACTAGGGCTTACGCGGGTTCAGTTTCTTACACCGGGTCCGGGTATTCTGAGAAAATACCCGGTGGGTCCAAGGGTTAAATAAAGAGTTAACTTCTCATTTTATATAAACAATAGGCCTACAGACTGTCCTACGTCCTACCTGCCTACCTTTAAACAATAGGCCTACAGACTGTCCCACGTCCTACCTGCCTACCTTTAAACAATAGGCCTACAGACTGTCCCACGTCCTACCTGCCTACCTTTAAACAATAGGCCTACAGACTGTCCCACGTCCTACCTGCCTACCTTTAAACAATAGGCCTACAGACGTTCCTACACCATATCCGTGGCTCTTTTTTGATTTATGTAATAGTCGCCTCCGACCTAAAGAAAAAATTCAACCTTACTACCGGAGTCCAACCGTCATGCACTATGTTCGCTGCGTGACATCTTTTTCTTTTCCACTCATTACTATTAATATAGAGCATGTTGAGTAGGAGGAGGGCCAGTTGTGAAAATGCAGCAGGACACACTAGAAGCAATATATACATAAGAGATGTCTGGGGGCCAATCTAGTGAGTGGTTAAATATTATGTGTTGGATTAAATAGGTCAAATAAAAGAGCTCTTCAATTAAAAAGAAAAAAAAATAGATGGATTAATTAAAATGATATCACGTCTCACCAGTCCAAGTCGGACAGAAATGACCTTTGGTCAAAGTTTCACCTATCAAAGTCTGGCAGAAATGACCTTTGGTCAAAGTTTCACCTATCAAAGTCTGGCAGAAATGACCTTTGGTCAAAGTTTCACCTATCAAAGTCTGGCAGAAATGACCTTTGGTCAATGTCTCACCTATCAAAGTCTGACAGAAATTACCTTTGGTCAATGTCTCACCTTTCAAAGTCTGACAGAAATGAGCTTTGGGCAATGTTTAATATATTAAAGTCTGACATAGGTGACCTTTGGGAAAATTTTTCACCTATTACAGTCGGCAGAAATGACCTTTGGTCAATGTCTCACCTATCAAAGTCTTACAGAAATGACCTTTGGTCAAAGTCTCACCTATCAAAGCCTGACAGAAATTACATTTGGGCAATGTTTAATATATTAAAGTCTGACATAGTTGACCTTTGGGCAATGTTTCACCTATTACAGTCGGCAGAAATGACCTTTGGTCAATGTCTCACCTATCAAAGTCTGGCAGAAAGCCGAGGCTCCAGTAGCAAGTGATTGATCCCTCTGTTCAATCGATCTGAAATAAACACGGCATATATAAAGTACATAGCAAAGTAGCCCACCTATAGACATGTTTTAGACAAGATGGTATCATACAAACATACAGATATCAGACACAAAACTTTTGTATGGGCAATACTTATTTAAATAACTGTTATTCAATGCTTACATTCAACAATTATATACAATGCTTATAGTCAACAATTATACACAATGCTTACATTCAACAATTACACACAATGCTTACATTCAACAATTATATACAATGCTTATAGTCAACAATTATACAAAATGCTTACATTCAACAATTACATACAATTCTTACATTCAACAATTACACACAATGCTTACATTGAACAATTATATACAATGCTTACATTCAACAATTATATACAATGCTTACATTCAACAATTATATACAATGCTTACATTCAACAATTATATACAATGCTTACATTCAACAATTATATACAATGCTTACATTCAACAATTATATACAATGCTTACATTCAACAATTATATACAATGCTTACATTCAACAATTATATACAATGCTTACATTCAACAATTACACACAATGCTTACATTGAACAATTATATACAATGCTTACATTCAACAATTATATACAATGCTTACATTCAACAATTATATACAATGCTTACATTCAACAATTATATACAATGCTTACATTCAACAATTATATACAATGCTTACATTCAACAATTATATACAATGCTTACATTCAACAATTATATACAATGCTTACATTCAACAATTATATACAATGCTTACATTCAACAATTATATACAATGCTTACATTCAACAATTATATACAATGCTTACATTCAACAATTATATACAATGCTTACATTCAACAATTATATACAATGCTTACATTCAACAATTATATACAATGCTTACATTCAACAATTACACGCAATGCTTAAATTCAACAATTACATACAATGCTTACATTCAACAATTACATACAATGCTTACATTGAACAATTATATAAAATGCTTACATTCAACAATTACATACAATGCTTACATTCAACAATTACATACAATGCTTACATTCAACAATTACACACAATGCTTACATTGAACAATTATATACAATGCTTACATTCAACAATTATATACAATGCTTACATTCAACAATTACACACAATGCTTACATTCAACACTTACACACAATGCTTAAATTCAACAATTATATAAGATGTTTACATTCAGCAATTATATAATATACCCTTGTAGAAGGTTGCTATACCTGACAATTATCATGAATCCAGGTACAATACTCGAACAACCAATCAACATTCCCAGGCAGTAGATGACTAAGAAGGGGATGAAGAACGGACAATCCAGACTGCAGAGACCAGGCTTGGCTTGACCGCCATTGATTTCTGAACAGTTGCTGAAGATCTGCACAAAAAGTTCATGACATTTAAACTGTAGGAAGAAATATTCATGTACCTAAACTAATAATTGCATACATGGTCAAATTTGTATTTACTCTTTATCAAACACAGGAATGTTGAAATTATTGGATATTCTATCTCCAAGGGAGACTTATAATGTTACCATCCATCTCCAAGGGAGACTAGGAATGTTACAATCCATCTCCAATGGAGACTAGGAATGTTACCACCCATCTCCAATGGAGACTAGGAATGTTACCACCCATCTCCAAGGGAGACTAGGAATGTTACCACCCATCTCCAAGGGAGACTTATAATGTTACCATCCATCTCCAAGGGAGAATTATAATGTTACCATCCATCTCCAAGGGAGGCTAGGAATGTTACCACCCATCTCCAAGGGAGACTTATAATGTTACCATGTTGGTTGAGTTGGTGCAGCCTGCCCAGCAAGGAGAGCGGTAGTCAACATTGTTATCACCACACACCAAGAATATGTCAGAGTTACAGGCGCACTGTTGAGAGGACTGGGTTCTGAGGAGAGCAATGGGAAAAGTTGATATTCCTGGACGTCTTGTAAATCCTGGGAATGTAATAGAATGATCATGTCGTTGGTTGTCAACTGTAGCACCATTTGTGTATGAATTCATTTGACTTTTTTCTCTCAACCCATTCAATATGCATATCTCACTTTAGATTCTGACGTGTTCTCATACCTCAGAATGTAATTAAACATGTAAAACAAACTTAACCATATCCGATACTTAAAAATAGCCAGCCACAAATCATGGCCAGTACTTCAAAATAGCCTGTGCTTTAACATGACCATCACTTTATCATGATCGGCACTTAAAAATGGTCAGTACTTAAGCATGGCCAGTACTCCAAGATGGCCAGCAGCGCCCTCGTCCTGTTCTTTTACAGTACAGTACCTCGACATTGCCAGTACTTTATTAGTCGTGTGTTGAGCACTGCCATCAACCTTGTGTCTCCAAATCCAGTGGCGAGCACTTCAACATAGCTAGTACTCTACTAGTCATGTCATGAACACTGCCACTAGCCTTGTGTCTCCAAGTCCCATGGCTAGCACTACAGAATAGCCAGTACTTTACTAGTCATGTCATGAACACTGCCTCCAAGTCACATGGCTAGCACTACAACATAGCCAGTACTTTACTAGTCGTGTGTTGAACACTGCCACTAACCTTGTGTCTCCAAGTCCCATGACCTGGGAGTTTTCGCACCCAAACACCATGTACATCACGTCCAGGGCGAGAGTTCCGGCGGAAATGGCCAGGGCCATCATGACACACCCCCGCAGTCCAAGTTTAAATCTCGAGGTCAGGAAGCCACCAGAAAACGTGCCGAGTGCCAGGGAGAAAATGACAATAATACCTGGGGACAGTCATTCAGATATTATTATCTTTATGGTCAGTGGTTTAATAGTTAACTGACTGACTAGCTGTGGTGTTTTATAATACATACCAGTAGTTGGACTGACTAGCTGTGGTATTTTATAATACATACCAGTAGTTGGACTGACTAGCTGTGGTATTTTATAATACATACCAGTAGTTGGACTGACTAGCTGTGGTATTTTATAATACATACCAGTAGTTGGACTGACTTGCTGTGGTATTTTATATTGTACATACCGGTAGTTAGACTGACTTACCGTGGTGTTTTATATTGTACATACCGGTAGTTAGACTGACTTACCGTGGTATTTTATATTGTACATACCGGTAGTTAGACTGACTTGCTGTGGTGTCTTATTGAACTGGGTCTCAATGTACTTCTGGGAGAACGCGAACCACCCAGAGAAACCGAACCCGTCGATGCATCCACCGACAAGCGCCAGGACGTAGACAGGACGTCGAAATATTCTGGACAGAGACTTGGGCATGTCTGGAACCGGACAACATTAAGCAATTAGGTGTACATCCAGAATCAAGTACCCACATGTACATTTAGAATAAAGTACACAATTGTACATTCAGAATCAACTAAAAATGTGTACATTCCCACCATGTTTCTACTTTAACAGTTGTGAGGTACAAATGGGAGGTGTAATTAGTTTCCTAATGTAAATATAATTTTACCACTTTTAGTACCAAATAAAGCATTTATTTAACAATATGTACACAGATATCAGCAGAAAACCGTTCCCCAAACTCTTTTGTGTACCCAGTATGACTTTCTTGACGGCTGCTTTCTTGCTGTCAGCGTTCGAACTGTTTTGTGTCTTCCTGTGACTCGTGTCCTGGTCATATCTGATTCGCCTAGGGAAGAACATGATTGGCAGAGAGAACGCAACACTGGCCACGCCCACAATCAGGAAACCGAGCCACCACGCCCCCACCCAGCGTTGGTCGTACTTGGACATCGACGTTTCTGGAAATAAGTGAACATATTGTGTGTTGGAAATGTTCAAGTGTTACAGACCATGTTAAATATTGTTAAAGACAATGCTAAATATTGTTACAGAAAATGCTAAATATTGTTAGAGACCATATTAAATCAGCAGCACCACATTACATGTCAATTTAAGTAAGAATACCAAGATTATGATTTGTTTTTTAATGTTAAATTTAAATGATCAAATCATTTTTTTTTTTTTTAAATTTATGTTCTGAGCTACGTTTGATTTTCTGCTGTCCTAGATGCCAAGTAGATTTTTTTTGTTGCAATTTGGGGATAGGCCACTGGAGGTCCAAACACCATGGCGGTGAATGAAGAACCTGGGATTGTAGAACAGAAATCATCTGTTTTAAAATACTATTCTTTTTAATTGCACGATTCTAAATTGTTAATTTCCCGTGCAGACCCTCTTGACGCGACCTAAACTGTAAAATAACAAATATATGAAGAGCTTTACAAAGAGCTGTAATATTTATTTTTAACGTAAAAACTCACGGTGTCATAAACCAAAATGCAATTTCTTCTTCTTTTTTTTCTTTGGAAATCAAAGAAATATACGTATAAGTAAGTGTGTAATACAGTACGTTACAGAAAAATATTGTTACAAATAATCTCTCATTTCATTTAGCGAAGCTGAACGTCCTCACGTCCGACCGTGTGCCACGTACCCTATCAGAATCAGACCGCGGCTTTAGACTAGACGCATTAAGTACTATAAATATGTTTGCAAACATCCCGTATCTATTTTAAGCACGGAGACCCTGAGGTGCTTGATGTCTGAGTTCAACTACAATGCTAGATTCTTGGCTATTTCAGTTGTAACTTCGCCTTCGTGGTTCTATGTAACACGTAACCACAGGGCAGTCTATCTACTACAATGAAATGACAGGATTACACACGCGAGCATAGGTGGTTTTGGTAGCATCCAGCGCATGGCAGCACGCGTAACCCCAAACACTACGAAGTATAATCGATAGTTGAATACCGGTGAAGTGATTTTAGTCTGTTTGAGACACGAACGTGTTTCAGTGTGCGTAGCTAGAACGCTATAAATTATAGCTGTTAGTGTCGACGCATGCACGCGTGGAGTCTATACAAGACAAGGCGCGTGGCAGTGTGTTGAACTATGGCAATATCATTGTCGACGGGTAGATTCAATGAGTTCCACAAGTAATTCAATTAAAACACTACTTAAAATAGTCATTAAAGAACAGGAAGCGTCCATCACAAACTGAAATAAAACTCTACACAAATAAGAATATAAAAGTTTGCATGGCTACTTACAGAACCCCGGACACAAACAGTGACACAACTAAGAAATAGTGTTCTCTTCTACAAGACGGCTCGATGCTCAGTCACATCGGAATCCAGATGACACGGTGGACCCCAGGGGCGTATTATGATGATGATGACAATAATAAAGTTCATTTGAAAAACATGCTTAATCCCTAATTAGGGCTCGAAGTGAGGTACAAAGTCTACCCTATAGATAGAGGAGATCCTAAAACTAGGCAATATTGTAAATTTGCCACCTGAAGCTCGACCCGAACTCATTTGAGATTTAAAGCCTGATAAGTCACCTGACTCTTTTCCAGGTGTGCCAATACACAGTTTGGTGTTTTGGGCCCGTTTAGTAAAGAAATAAAACTTATCATTTCTCTATTACCTTAAACACTAGGGCACCAGGGAGCGATCGTTTATGTCAACCCCTTTCCCTTGACCCCCCCCCCCCGTTACGTTCCATAGGCTCATAGCTGTATCAGATATTGTTTTGTTGTCATTATTTGCTTTACAATTATTCATGAACATAATATTTACCTAAAAACAGACCCGATTTATTGGGGTCTTTGATATTTGTCTCGACGTAGTGAGTGAGTAGAGGAATCCTGTAGGACTTCACGATGCCACCAACAATGGCCGGAACAACTAAAAGCCAAAACGACCATGGCAGACCCGATGAAGAAATCTGGTCACCGGAACTCATGATCGTGGGACGGTCGTCTGCAAGATCTGAACCATTGGTAGAGTTGAAGAGAACATCACTCGAGTAGAGTGAGTGGTCCACGGTACACAGATATTTGGCCCCTTTGTCTTCTGTGCTGCTCGTGTTTGTGAGTGGCCCGAACACTGAAAACAGCAACCAAAATTTAACGATTATTATCTGTCTTTTATATTCTGAGAATTTTAATGATAACCAAATGATAAAATGAGTTTCAAATAAAAGGTGTCTTACATTATTGTTCCGGTATCTTGTAGCTTTGATTCTGTGTTTAAAGCAATATATCTTCACTCACCTTGCCAGACTTTTGGCACTTCAAATCTACCAAACGACATGGTGATGACGCAGAGGCCGAAGATGATGCCAGACAGGGAGAGAAGCCGAGGGATGTGTATGTATTTGCCAAAATGGCTCCCAAATAGGACGGCAATGAGATATCCAACTTCATTACTGCTTAAGATAAGACCTGTGACGGGGACAGAACTAGTTTCAAGTCATGGATTAAAAGGTATTTAGTTTATCACAAAATGGTTTTCTAAGAAAATTAACGGGAAAAAAATAATTTAAATTATTTCTACTTAAGGTATAATGAAATAAGAATGAAAAGATAATTTGCCCGATAAACAATGAAACATCTATCAAAAGAAATGTATTACCGTATGTTCGCGTATATCAGGCGCATCTTATAGAAATTTTTACATACCCCACACCCAGGGCGCGTCTTATAATTAGGTGTGTCTTATATGGGCGAAAATACGATCAGTATTTTTTTAATTCGAACGAACGGTACAGTGGGCGAGATTGAAGGACGATGATAGCGGTCGATATTCATGTTTCACGATTTTCATTCCTAGCTGTGAAAACAAGGGGGTAAGTAGTAAGTGTTCAGTAATGACCACGTGTACCAATCCAGTGCAGGCCACTTCAAATTTAAAATCCTTTCGTTTCAATGTTTTGTATATCTGGCGTTTATTGTTTCTAGAATCTAGATACCAGGTACGCAACCCATCCGCTATTGGCCCTACTCAACCCGTCCGCTATTGGCCCTACTCAACCCATCCGCTATTGGCCCTACTCAACCCGTCCGCTATTGGCCCTACTCAACCCATCCGCTATTGGCCCTACTCAACCCATCCGCTATTGGCCCTACTCAACCCATCCGCTATTGGCCCTACTCAACCCATCCGCTATTGGCCCTACTCAACCCATCCGCTATTGGCCCTACTCAACCCATCCGCTATTGGCCCTACTCAACCCATCCGCTATTGGCCCTACTCAACCCATCCGCTGTTGGCCCGGCGGCAGATAAGAATACACAAGAAGCGTTGCGGTCCTGCCCCATTTTCATTTACGAACTAGGAAAGGAAACCACTGGCTACAAATTGCCCAGTGCGGCTGATGGCTGGGCCGCCTGCGTCCGATGTCGTTGTTGTTTACACAAATCGTCAAAACCCACGTCTTAAATATACGGGTGCTCAGGGTTGCCAACCGTCCGTAAAATTACGGACAGTCCGTAAAGATTTGTCGTAAAATTGCCTGACCGTAAAATTCCGTTAAAAAATTAAGACGTCCGTAAAAAAAAAATCGACAAAACGTGGAATCTCAACGTTTAAAAAACCCCAGTAAATCATGTTTGTGATCATGTTTGTGATCATGTTTGTGATCATGTTTGTGATCATGTTTGTGATCATGTTTGTGATCATGTTTGTGATCATGTTTGTGATCATGTTTGTGATCATGTTTGTGATCATGTTTGTGATCTCTATTTTCTTGATTCAAATTTTAATTATTAAATTGTTTTCGTGGCATCCCGCGCTCTCTTAATAAACTGTAAGAGCTTTCTGGACAGCTAGGCTGTTCGTTTTAAGGTCAACATTTTTATGTTAAATGTGTCCGTAAAAACTTTTTTTTGTCCGTAAGTTTTGTTGAGAGTTCTTCTATTTGTCAGTAAATGTTATTTTTATTGAGTTGGCAACCCTGCGGGTGCGTGTTATATGCGCCAAAATACGGCACTTTGACAGTGGCTTATCCTACATTCTCCATCAAAGACGCGAAGGGTGATAATAATAATAATAATAATAAGAGGTCTTATATAGCGCGGTACCCCAGCCTAGGGCTGGGCTCACTGCGCTGTACATACAACTTTTTATCAAAAGAGACATAATCATGACATTAAAATAAAATACATTTATGAAATAAAGAACAGCAATGTATGTTCACCCACCCCACCACACTCCACCCCACCCCACCCCAGAAATGATACGAACGTCAGAGTGGTATTTTTTGTTAAAGATCTGCTCTTCCCGTCCCCTTCATAACAGATACGCCCGTAACAGTACACAAAAGGCAAATTCTAATCTGGTCAACATTCCCTATGTGTATGACTTCAAGTTACTATAAATAGTAGGAATGAGCCGGGTGCTGCCCGAATACCCGGAAATGCCGAGTATTTACTCACCCGGAAAATACCTGGCCCTTAATAATGAAACACATTTTAAACAAATTTTTGTGTACATTAGAGTAAGGAAAATACACTTAAATTCCAACCAGCAGCGTCTCCCCTCCGATCTTTCTTCTGTTCATGGGCTAAGGTTATATGCTATTTGGGTTATGAAACCTTCAACTTTGATGCTATTGAGATCTCTACTGGTTCTATACATGCAGTTTTACCCCCCCCCCACCCCGGCCCCCATGGGTGGCAGACATTTTCTCGTTTTCTAGTTAACTCCTGCATCGTCATACTCGTACCCGCTACCCGGACAAGCTACCCGGACAAGCTACCCGGACAAAAACAGCACCCGGCTCACCCCGAATAAACAGCCTCTATGTGGTATGTACCCCTTATCTGTACCCCTGATCTGGAACCCCTGACCTGGATCCCCGACCTGTACCCTTGACCTGTACCCCTGACCCGTATCCCTGACCCGTACCCTGACCTTGACCCCTGACCTGTTTTACTGCTGGAGATTCCAAGATGGCGCTCCAGAGACGTAATCTGAGATCCCAGCAGAGATCCCAGAGTGGTCATCCAGATCCCAGATATGCCGTAGCAGACGACAAAAGCCGGAAGTCCGGTAAATCCTAGAGATGAACCAAAAGAATAATTGTAACATTTCACATTTCTTTCAATAGTGTTACAGAGTGGTGGCATGAAAGGAAAGCTTCTTTGACTCTATTTGGTTTATTGGTCACCTTGGGTTATCATCAGGGTAATGATAGGTGGCCATCTCCGATAATGATGGTTGATAATCGGATGTAATTATGGTTGGGTATCATGAATAATGATGGTTGGCTATCGGGGGTAACGATCGTTGGTCGCAAGAGGTAATGGTGGTTAGCCAACGCGGTAATGATGGTGGCTGTCAGCTTCTGACTACAATTGAGATAAAACTCAAGTATTTTCAATGTTTATTGGAGTCTATAGGTAGTGACATATACAGTCCTAGTCTACACAACCAGATCATGCTATGTAATACGGCAAGTCACATCCCTAGATCACGCCATTCATATTAAACAAGCTCAGCCTCATCCCTAGATCACACCATTCATATTTAACACGGTCAGACCCATCCCTAGATCACACCATTTATATTTAACATGGTCAGCAACATCCCTAAATCACACCATTAATTTTTAACACGGTCAGCAACATCCCTAGATCACACCCTTCATATTTAACACTGTCAGCCACATCCCTAGATAACACCATTCATATTTAACACGGTCAGGCACATCCCTAGATCACACCATTCATATTTAACATGGTCAGCCTCATCCCTAGATCACACCATTCATATTTAACATGGCCAGCCTCATCCCTAGATCACACCATTCATATTTAACATCGTCAGCCTCATCCCTAGATCACACCATTAATTTTTAACATGGTCAGGCACATCCCTAGATCACACCATTCATATTTAACATGGTCAGCCTCATCCCTAGATCACACCATTATATTTAACATGGTCAGCCTCATCCCTAGATCACACCATTCATATTTAACATGGTCAGCCTCATCCCTAGATCACACCATTCATATTTAACATGGTCAGCCTCATCCCTAGATCACACCATTCATATTTAACACGATCAGCCTCATCTTTAGATCACACCATTCATATTTAACACGGTCAGGCACATCCCTAGATCACACCATTCATATTTAACACCGTCAGCCACACTCCTAGATCACACAATTCATTATATTTAATACTGTTTGGTGTCAACTATTCAGAGACTCACTTTGTGTCCAAGATGGCTGACATCTGCCTATACCACACGTGGCTTGTGGTTGCAACTCAATGTTTAGCTCCTCCTCATTGTCTTGGATGTCTGTGTGTACTTGTGGCAACCTGGAGACATCATGTTTGTTAATGTCTAGAATGTACATCATTGTTTGTTAATATATAGAATGGACATCAATGATTGTTAATGTATAGGATGGAAAACAATGATTGTTAATGTCTAGAATGGACATCATTGTTTGTTAATGGTTAGAATGGACATTAGTGTTTGTTAATGTCTAGAATAGACATCATTGATTGTTAATGTCTAGAATAGACATCATTGATTGTTAATGGTTAGAATGGACATTAGTGTTTGTTAATGTCTAGAATAGACATCATTGATTGTTAATGTCTAGAATGGACATCAATGATTGTTAATGTCTAGAATTGACATCAATGGTTGTTAATGTCTAGAATTGACATCACTGATTGTTAATGTCTCGTATGGACATCATTGATTGTTAATGTGTAGAATGGACATCAATGATTGTTAATGTGTAGAATGGACATCAATGATTGTTAATGTCTAGAATTGACATCAATGATTGTTAATGTCTAGAATGGACATCAATGATTTTTATTGTCTAGTATGGACATCACTGATTGTTAATGTCTAGTATGGACATCACTGATTGTTAATGTCTAGTATGGACATCACTGATTGTTAATGTCTAGTATGGACACCACTGATTGTTAATGTCTAGTATGGACATCACTGATTGTTAATGTCTAGTATGGACATCACTGATTGTTAATGTCTAGTATGGACATCACTGATTGTTAATGTCTAGTATGGACATCACTAATTGTTAATGTCTAGTATGGACATCAATGGTTGTTAATGTCTAGTATGGACATCACTGATTGTTAATGTCTAGTATGGACATCAATGATTGTTAATGTATAGGATGGAAAACAATGATTGTTAATGTCTAGAATGGACATCATTGTTTGTTAATGGTTAGAATGGACATTAGTGTTTGTTAATGTCTAGAATAGACATCATTGATTGTTAATGTCTAGAATGGACATCAATGATTGTTAATGTCTAGAATTGAAATCAATGATTGTTAATGTCTAGAATTGACATCAATGATTGTTAATGTCTAGAATGGACATCAATGATTGTTAATGTCTAGTATGGACATCACTAATTGTTAATGTCTAGTATGGACATCATTGTTTGTTAATGTTTGCGATGAACATCAACACATTTCCTCATCACATTGTTAGCATGGCTTTTCCTTCAGTATTGAAGCTTGAATAAAAGCCACTCACATTTAAGATTTGCTTTTGTATGTGTCACTTTGCCAGACAATTTTCGTCATTGTGTTAGACCAGTTGGGTCACTGTGTTTGACCAGTTGGGTCACTGTGTTTGACCAGTTGTGCATACATTGTCTATTCATGTCTATTAACATACAAATTTAATACAGCACAACATTTTTTTATAATTGACAGTAAACAAGCCCATTGATTGTGTTGTGTTATTTCTTTTAGACTTTGTGTGCTCTTTCGCGAGATAGGCAAGGGAGGTAATTAGAGTAATTTTCAGTTTAATGTGTTCTTCTTTCAATAAGAGTCTAAAATTTAGAAAAAGTGCTTGAAATTCTGAAAGACTAATATTCCCTGAAAGAGGGTACATAGATGTACAACTGTGCCAACATTTTTGTATTATGTACACAACTACTGGATCTACACGATTACTTTATGTACACGATTACTTAAAGTACACAATTACTTAATGTATACGATTACTTGATATAAACGATTACTTCATGTACATGATTACTTTATATATACGATTACTTAATGTAAACGATTACATTATCCAAACCAGAATACATTACTGCCTAATTATTTTTAAAAAATACAATTTCAGTGTTAGGTTCAATGATAATTTTGAATGGTCGACTTACTTTTGTAATGGGAAATACAAATTCCCGTCAGGTCCTCTCACGACATTATTTTGACGTCTATCAGCTGATTCGTCACGGGGAACTGCCGCATCTGTGTCGTCTATCTGTTGACTCAATCTGTGGAGCCTTTCCTGGGAGCTCAAAATGTATTGGGCGTCTGGTAACTTGGTAAGAAAGGGACGTACGGTGAGAGATGAAATTGTTCTTAGATTAAAACCTTCCCAAAAATAAGTAGGGGCCGGCCAACCATGAGCATGGGCCGTCCATTAAAACCTTCCCGACCATGAGTAGGGGCCGTCCATTAAAACCTTCCCGACCATGAGTAGGGGCCGTCCATTAAAACCCTCCAAACTATGAGTAGGGGCCGCCCATTAAAACCTTCCCGACTTTGAGTAGGGGCCGTCCATTAAAACCTTCCCGACCATGAGTAGGGGCCGTCCATTAAAACCTTCCCGACCATGAGTAGGGGCCGTCCATTAAAACCCTCCGAACCATGAGTAGGGGCCGTCCATTAAAACCCTCCAAACTATGAGTAGGGGCCGTCCATTAAAACCCTCCCGGCCATGAGTAGGGGCCCTCTATTAATGATGTCAATAATTTTGAGGCGATTGTTGCCCCCCCCCCTCTCTCTGTATAATTTCAAGGAAACTCCTAAGTGATTACGTCAACAATGTTTTTAGCCCCCCTCGACCATGAGTAGGGGCCGTCCATTAAAACCCTCCGAACCATGAGTAGGGGCCGTCCATTAAAACCCTCCAAACTATGAGTAGGGGCCGTCCATTAAAACCCTCCAAACTATGAGTAGGGGCCGTCCATTAAAACCTTCCCGACCATGAGTAGGGGCCGTCCATTAAAACCTTCCCGACCATGAGTAGGGGCCATCTATTAATGATGTCAATAATTTTGAGGCGATTGTTGCCCCCCCCCCTCTCTCTGTATAATTTCAAGGAAACTCCTAAGTGATTACGTCAACAATGTTTTTAGCCCCCCCCCCCTCTTTTTTTCAAACTATCAATAAGTACGTGTCTCTCGTCTAATGCTTAAGTTCTAGGGCGGGGCACACCACGTCCAGCTCAACTGAAAACGTTTTTAACAAAGTGAAATCGATGACTGAGTTTATTTTATAGTGCAGAATTTATTTTTAAAAAATTTACAAAGATAAAATATTATAATTGTTAGTGACGTTATGGCTATAGGCTTTTAGCATCATTCCAAATGATCGTTTGACATAACACATAGGAACAGCCAAAAGAATCTTTTGACATAACGAATATTGACTGATGAATTTAGTGCCAAATTAATATTATTATGAAACCGGCTGACATAATCCTTGTGTAATGTAACATAATCCTTGTCTAGCCTAACATAATCCTTGTGTAGTCCAGCATAATCCTTGTCTAGTCTAACATAATCCTTGCCTAGTTAACATAATCCTTCTCTAGTCCAACATAATCCTTCTCAAGTCTAACATTATTCTTTTCTAATCTAACATAATCCTTGTCTAGTCTAACATAATCCTTGTCTAGTCTAACATAATCCTTGTCTAGTCTAACATAATCCTTATCTAGTCTAACATAATCCTTGTCTAGTCTAACATAATCCTTGTCTAGTCTAAGTATTCAGCTCTGAAACTATAACAATTTTGTCCTCATTCAAAAGTTGCCATCGCCTCCACCAGTCTTTTGGCAGACACTTGAATAGGTCACCTTTTTTTGCCCTTGAGGACCAGCTGATCATTTCTTAAGCCCCATAACTGACCACTGGGGCTGCTCTCACCATTTGAAATCATACGATTGTTTTAGAGCAATTAAAATGAACAAATATTTTGCAACAAAGTTCTCTAGACGCTTATGTTTTTAATTTTTTTTTATATGAAAGGAAAAAAAAACAACAACATAATTTTTGACGTCATTCTATTGGGACCCCCAAGTAGTGGAGTCTCCTTGTCGACAATTGTCCCATTTTCCAACTGGTCAGCCACATGTTCCGTTGACGTGATTTAATGACGGGTCCTTTTAGAAATGTATTATTATTATTATTATTATTTATTTTTTTTAATGGCGAGGCTAAGGGAGGTAACTACATATTAGCGGGGAAATTCAAGGGAGACAAACAACAAAACACTAGGTAATAAACAAGACAAAAAGATGTCGAGAAAAATTATTTGATGACTTCATGATGGCATCACATTCAATTCTTCTTAGCAGCTATCAACTTTGCGAGGGTTAACAGCAACAACTGAGATAACCCTGAAGCTGTATCCCATACTGACTTACATATCTCATCTGCTCGGATGGATATGTTATGTCACCGTCAGCCTACCGACCGCCTGTACCGTTTTTTGGTTTCATTGAAATTAAAATTTGATAAAATCAAAGTAGTAACACGAGAACTATTTACAGACGAGCGGTGACATCACAAATAGAAATTTACAGTAAACAATAGCAATGTCCTAATGCTTCTTCGCAACGCAACTGGCTAATATATTTATGTGGGTTTTTAAAAATAAAGTTATTATTATTATCATTATTATCAACGAAATAATCAATTAAAATTAATTTCCAAAATAAATTCATGCAATTAAAACAGAGAAGGCAATTGAATTAATGTTTGCCTTATTAAGTTAAAATAGATGAATGGAAAGATGTTTACAAGATGAAAAGCTTATTAGAACTGTGGGGGGGGGG